GAAATAGAAAGATAAGACATAAAAACCTTATGTCTCACAAAAATAACGGTTCTGCAAAGAATAAAAAATTTTCATTTTCCAAATATTTTCACTAATGTAAAAATTATGCCTGATTTTAGATATTTATTTGAAAGTTATATTTTACTATAAAACTATACCTCAAGTCATTATGTCGTACATTTTTAATGGCACATGATGTCACAGTAGGGAAATTAATTTTCCGCTCAAGGGGTGGACATTTTAGTGAAAAGTTCCTGTGCGGTATTTGTGCCCTTTTCGAATTCATTAAAAATTATCAATTAAAAAATTATTGCCTTATAAATATCGTAGCACTAAAGGGAAAAAAAGGCCCCAAAGTTCCAAAAAAACATTTGCATATAGCAGCAATTTTTTTTTCCATGCAAAAGTTTTTAACATGTGTACGCACATCTACAATTCAATTTGTTTGTTTTGCCAGAATTTATTTTTTATTTTTCAATTATGCCGTATATATTTTGAATCCAATACAACAGATTAAGTTTTCATATGTATTAAGATCAACAAAAACAAAATAAAAAAGATCAACAAATGTCATTAAGCTCAACAAGATTTAATTAACTTTTCATTTCATTATTTTAGTAATCTATTTTATAAAATAATTTTCTAAAAATAATTTTTTTTGTAAAAAAAATAAAATATAAACGTTATTAATATTTCTTTCAAATATCAATTTAATTTTTTGGTAATTATTATAAATTTTTTGCATTGAAAAAGATAAATTCTAAAACATACAGGGTAGCCCATCGAAAACGTACCGCAAGGCATTACAGGGTAGTAAAGAACTTTTCGGCAAAATCCAAAAAAAGGTCAAATTTGTTTCTGAGGGGGACAACTTTTGGCTCAAAAAGCATACCAAAATCTTCAACCCCCTAAGTGGGGGTGCTATCCCCTAAATTTTTTCAAATGGGAATGGGGTTCAAGTGAGGGGTCATTAGAAAGGGCTTTTAATTCTCTATACATCGATTCTTACTTTTTGAAAATCGATTCATTATTTTAGAAAATATGCAGCTTTGAAAATACGAACAATATTTTTGACGAGAAATGCGAAAATCGATTTAATTTTACTTCAAAACTTACGGTATTAGTCAAGTAAATGCTGAAAATGTTGTCCGCCAACTTGCATACAATGATACAGGTTGTCTTCAAACCGTTGTCGAACATTCTGGAGCACTTGCGGTGTTACTTCGCGACATACATTAATGATTCGTCCTCGCAGATCTTCCAAGGTATCAGGTGGAGTGCTGTAAACTTTGCTTTTAATGTGCCCCCAGAGAAAGAAATCTAAAGGATTTAAGTCGGGTGACCGAGGGGGCCACTCAATTGCACCTCTTCGTCCTATCCAGCGTCCTGGAAACGTCTCATTTAGGTAATTGCGCACATTGAGCGAGTAATGTGGAGGAGCTCCGTCTTGCTGGAAAATCAGTTCGTGTTCATTGTAAGCAGGGTCGTCCTCTATGATATTTGTTAGAGCTGGGTCGATGACATTTTGTAGTAAATCCAAGTACATATCGCCTGTCAAATTTCCAGGAAGGAAAAAAGGACCTACAATGGAATTTCCAAAAATACCTGCCCATACATTCAACTTCTGGGGGTGTTGGGAGTGTGTCTCATGGAAAATCCTTGGATTGGTATCAGCCCAGTAACGACAATTATGGCGATTCACTAAACCATTCAAGAAGAACGTACACTCGTCCGAAAAACACACATTAAAGAGGAAATTATCGTTTATCGCTCGTTCAGTCATTATTTCGCAAAATTGCAAACGACGATCAAAATCGTCTTCATTTAGCTCTTGCACTAGCCGAATCTTATAAGGATGGAATTTGTATTTTTTTAATATTCGTTGGACACTTGTACGACTCACTCCTGTCGCAGTAGCCAATTGCATTGTACTCAGCGTACTATCCATTGCCACTTGCCCCAATACCGCTATTTCCGTAGGTTCATTTAGTACCGGATTTTCAACCTGCCTCTTTTTGTTATGAACGGAGCCAGTTTCGCGAAATTTGGCCACCAATTCGCGAACAATTTTTCCAGACGCATGTTTCTCAGGATGCCGTTGGTTGAACAGTTCGGCGACCCGATTTCCGCATTCATTGTTTTTGAAAAAAAGCTCAATAATTTCTACTCTTTCTGGAATTGAGTACACCATAATTAATCAATTTAAAAGACTCGGCAGTATTGGTACTCTTCAACTACAAGTCACAAGACAGTTATCTAGCAACTTCTTGTGGCCTATCTAAATACGAAACAAAAAGCGGACAATTTTTTGCTCACCAAAATCAGGCTAAAGAATTCGCAAATCAGAAAAAAAAAAAGCGAATTCTTTTGAAGGAATTTACCAAGCTAATACCGTAAGTTTTGAAGTAAAATTAAATCGATTTTCGCATTTCTCGTCAAAAATATTGTTCGTATTTTCAAAGCTGCATATTTTCTAAAATAATGGATCGATTTTCAAAAAGTAAGAATCGATGTATAGAGAATTAAAAGCCCTTTCTAATGACCCCCCACTTGACCCCCATTCCCATTTAAAAAAATTTGGGGGATGGCACCCCCACTTAGGGGGTTGAAGATTTTGCTATGCTTTTTGCGCCAAAAGTTGTCCCCCTCAGAAGCAAACTTTACCTGTTTTTGGATTTTGCCGAAAAGTTCATTACTACCCTGTAATGCCTTGCGGTACGTTTTCGATGGGCTACCCTGTATATTGATTTAACATAATTTAGTTTTACATTTTTATTGATCTACCTACTTGGAATTTACGAAACACTATCTCTTTTCATTTTATTGTTTATACAATTTATGCATATATTATTTGTATATTCCATGCAAATGTAACGGCAATATGTTTTTTCATCATTACTTAACTCCCTTCATAATCTGCAATGAATACCGTATAGGAATTGTTAATTAATGAGCATAGTAAAATTGAGATTTTAAATTATTTAAATATTTTTTATAGCATCAAAAATGGACGGCGATATAATTTTTTAGTATCATTTGATGATGTTAATGTTATGGGGTAAAAGCCGTACAGGAATATATAAATAATTTCATAATGTAGTGAAAAGTCTTGAAAAATCCTACTAATTATGGAAAGCCTTGAAATTAAAAATAGACGGCATCCACAATTTTGTTAATATTAACCTTTGAATAATTTAAAACAGTAATAAAATTGAAAATATATAGTATTATAGTAGCTTTCAAATGGAATTTCAAATTGCAAAAATGATAAACAATTTTTTTATTCACGGCCAATTGTTTTTTCGTTGCCAATAATTTTGTACGGCACTTTTGTCTAGTAAAGTCTATAAAATGGAATAACTTGCTTCCGAAATTTATACCGTTCAGGAAATAATGATTTTTACCCAAAAAAAATGGCGTTAACTTTAGAGCACTCACAGTTATATAATAACAGTGAAAATATTTGGAAAATGAAAATTTTTTATTCTTTCCAGAACAGTTATTTTTGTACGGCATAAGGATTTTATGTCTTATTTTTCTAATATCTGTCTTGGGTCAATTTCTATTTAATTAATTTACCCGGCCTAAAATTGGAAAGTTTGATTTTCCGCTGACAACCCATGTGCCACGGAGAATTGACGGCATAGTGCTCAAATGTTTTCTTATAGGTTGTAGTATTTAAGTCATAGACTCTTACGGTGCCTAAAATGATTAGGAAAATTTTCCTATCCGGCTCTTAGTCTATTAGTGACTATGCCAGTTTCGTTTGTTTTTCTATACCTAAAAGAAATAAAAATCGTATTTTACTGTGTATTACACCCGTAAAAGTGACTAACTGTAATAATTTGATAAGGTTATAGCTACATTTACATTACCTTCTCGTAAACCAAACTGAAAACTCTAATAAAAATGCAAAAAAAGCGTAATAACGTAACGGTCATTCCCGTTTTGCCAAATTAAATTGTAGGTTATTTTTTACCCGTTTACCATCTCGTCATATCACACCAGGAGTTAAATCAAATGGCAGTAGCGGCTTTCCAGAGACGGCGCTTTACTGAACAGCGAAACTAACCTTCTTTGCCATTCGTAAGCGTTCGGAACAGTATCGGATTCTGCTTAAATTTAAACGGTTCATGGAATAATTTTGTTTATTTTGGATTAACTTAATATGTATTGCCCGAAAATAGAATAGAAACATATCGATAATATAACTATCAATACAACGCACTGTGGGCCCATAGCCAATTAGAACAAGAAAACCTACCTTTTTGTAAGATTTTTTTGATCTTTAAACTGAATCTGTTTAATTAAAAACAATCGCAAACAAATATTTTAGAACCAAATTTTCTTGCCAGAAGGTGCCATTTAAGCCCTTTAGTCTTAAGAATTTTGAACGTTCTTTTATTGTAGATGTAGTTTATTACCAGTAGGTATAATGTGTTTTCTTGGATTTTTCTTTATTTTAACCAGAAGAGACGCCCGTATCAATGTCATTTCAATGGGAAATATAACATTAAGCAACATAATTTCTCTCCAATACGCAAATAAGCAATAAGCAAAGTTCAAAAGATTTTAAAATAATTTTTTTTTCGAGTATATGGTGTAATATACTCTGTTATTATCAAATTAAACAGTTTTGTCCTACGATTAAGAAAAAACAAGTGAGATACGATAAATAGCATAAAATAGGTTTTCTTCAAATATCTTTGGAACTATTCGAAATTTTCTAAATTTAAAAACGAATCTGTGATCGCCATAAAATTCTACACATTTTTGTCGATTTAACCATTTCTGTAACTCTTAAAATAAGAAAGATACCCCTATAAGATAATTAAAAACCCTGTGTACTACTGAAAAATAAAGATAATGAAATAATAGAAAAGTGCTTAAACTAGATGAAATTTACACAATTTTACTATTACTTATTTTAATTAGGGAATAAAGTTAAAAATATTAATATGTATGAATTCTAATACTTTTCTAATATTTTTTTGTTTCAGATGTGTATAAAACAACAGGATTATAATGAAGTTATTATTAATTTATCTTCTTCTTCTACTTACTTTTGTGCAAATTATACTAAGTTGGGAACATAAACAATTTATTCCGTTGTATAATACGAACTATGGATCAATTTATGGAAGTATTGAAGTTGCTAGGACCGGCAGATTATTTTACTCCTTCAAAGGGATTCCATATGCTAAACCTCCCATCAACAACTTAAGATTTAAGGTATATGTCTTCAATTCATTATGTATTGAAATATAAGTAGATATATAGTAGGCACATACAGGGTATCCCACGGTGACGGGCCCATTAGAATTATTTCAGAGACTACTTCGATTTGAATTTTGAAAATTTGGGATACCGGGTTTTTGGGCATGCCCTTCTCAACTAAAATAATGGCGTCCATGTACCACTTCCGGTTATATCGGAAGTCGCCATCAACTTGCTTATTTTAAATGGAACACCCTATATATTATTGCAATTTTGGATTCTACCTGTTATTTTAGGTGGACTTTTATGAAGTTTCCCTATTCCTAAAATTAACCGTTTTCGAGACATTTAATTTTTTTTAAAAAAATGGAGAGAAACAGTGACTAGCTTCAAACCATGTGCCCGTGCTTGTGGCGTTTAATTGTTGCAGTGCAATATACCTAAAAGTAAGTCTAGAACTCGATAACAAAATAAGTAACAAGAGAAACTTAATAGATATTCATAATGTTGAAAAAATGGTAAAATAGTTCGGTCATACGTCATCAAAATAAAAGAAAATCCCATTAACACGGGTACGGAAATTTAAGACCTTTTGAAGAATATAGGTATGTGAATTAAGTAGATCTGACAAAAGTGTATGGAACATCTCTTGTAGGGATGAGTTTTAAGAATAAACTAAAGGAACAACTATGGATTCGCCCTTGTCCCAATCTCTGGCAAATATTCACTTGGAAATCTTCTAGAAAAGTCAGTAACTTTCAAAGCGGAGTGTTGATTTAGATATGCTGATGATACATTTATCATCTGGCCTCATAAACATGCAAGGAGTACATTAATGACGTTGGCACAAAACGGTATCCTTTCGTTCCTAGATGTCTTTGTCAAGAGTAATTCGGATGATATCCTAGGTCATGGCGCTTACAGAAAGACAACTCACATTAATAGGCGCCTGACACGAGTTTCTGGCAAACTCAGATAACCGTGTCCGAGGCAGGTGTTTTAATTATTATTTAAAATATCTGCCTTATGAATTAAAACCTCACTAACAAGTATCGATCGTGTTATAAATATATTATAAATTTTATTGTCTATAAATATTTATTTGTTAAATTTTTTATCCAGTTGGGCATTCTACTTCAGTGAAATGAATTTTAAGTAATTAACTCATTGCGCGAAAAGGTCAAAGAGTCATCTTAAGAACTGAGTTTTGCCTAATCACGAATATCGCAAACTAAACAAGTAGATAACACAGGCACACAAAAAAGTCCAAACCCAAGAGACCCACATATCGTTTCCGAAGGAATTCGATGCGCTGAACACTCCTATAGTTAAAATTCATGGCTTGCCGATGAATTTCGGAGGAAAATGGAATTTTTGGGTGAAAACACCCAAATATTGGTCAAAACTGATTTTTTCCTAAATTTTGTCCAAATATATCATTTTCGTAGTATTTTGAGGTGCTGAACACGATGCTATTAAAATTTATCCAAAGTGGGGCCCTAAATTTCGAAAAAAATTAATATCTCTGCAACATTTTACCACAGAAGAACCAAATTTGGTACATGATATAGGTTTATTACTGGTCTTCTTTGACTACGATTTAAAGTTAATTGATGCGCTACAAGGTGATCATTGGGGATGACTCGCCCCTAAAATTGTACCAAACTTTTTTAACTAAATAATAATAATAATATAAATAATAATATTAATTCACAGCAGAATTTAATTTAAAAAATGTTTGTATTGTTAAATTTTAAGAAAGTATGGTTTTCAAGAAAAACCGTATTAACTGAAACAAGATTTTAACAGTGTTTATTAGAAAATAATCGAAAAGTCAGTAGTAGGTAATGAATTTATCTTTCAAACTTGTCAGTTAGTAATAAAATTATTTTATTTCAACAATTGCCTCTGATTGTTGTTGAAAAAATATCAATTATTATTTTTATTATTTATTTGTGTTTTTTACTCAATACAATATTCGCTAATTTAAAAACTACCTATGTACTTGTTTCTTTTTTGTAGAATTAAGAGAGAAGTGAAGTAAAATTTATTTGGCCAATTGTCAAATTTGAAAGATAAAGCCTGCTACTACCATTGTATAAGTACTTATACTTATTACTTATACAATGCTATTACTGACTTTTTGATTATTATATTATTATAGTATTCATTAATACCACAGACAAAATAGCTATCGCCACAGACCGCTACTGGAATAGGCCAGCAGTTTTAAATTTCCGAATTGCCGATGGAGTACACCACCAGCAGAATTTTAGGAACAATCAAATGCAGCGGCCGCTTTCCTACGCTTATCCTAGCAACATACAAACAAAACTTTGGTAATGTTGCCAGGCGTAGATACTTACGGATTTCTTTTGTACAGTTCTTTATCAATATCTGTTTTTGCGTTACTGTATTTACTTATATATAATGTAGATATTGATAAAAATGTTTTTAAAGAATCAACGAATATCTATGTAGTTTCATATGATATTCTGCAGCAGTGTCACAATTAAGTTATTTAATCAGAATTTCGTTAATTAGCTACTACTTTCATTTTTAATTCTTGAAATACTGCAGAAAATATATTTCCAAATAAATAAAATTAATAATACGACTTTTGCTTTATTTCTTTTGACATCAAAATCTGCTGGCATAAAATATACATATTATGTTTAAAGTAAAAATATCATTAAAAAAATTAAAGTTCATCCTTATTGAAATAACAAACAACGATTTTTATAACTCACCTTTACAACAACATAAGGAGAATACCTAAATACAAAATAATAAATAAATAAATCAACATGCTGTTACGGGCTTATTTCTATTATTACTATTTTATTTAAATTCATATCGGTCTCTCTTAAAAAAATAAATAAAAATAGCTAGGTAATCATGTAAACCACAATGGAATTGCAATCTCCCAGCCACAAATGAAAACTTTAAATTAGGGTATTTATTTATTTTCTATCTTAAACAAATATTATGGTAAGGTTTAACTTGTTATATTTTTCCCAAAATATTGAAATTTGTTTATTAAATTGTCGGCGGTAAGTAAATATGAAGTTCCCTGTCGATATACGGCCGAACGGACTTTTTCTTTCCTCTTTTTTTGGTCTCAGGCATTCCTTATTTCCTCCTGTGCTCTTTGTCGCTAGATAAAAGAGAATTGTCGACTTAGCAGCGTGTGCTCTCGCTACGATAGAATATCGCTTTTGCGGATCTTGCTGCATTTTGTGGACAAAAATTTGTTTTGTTAGTTCTGGTGAATCCAGTGTTAACCGTTGTTGGTTGGATTTGTGTCCATAAAACCAGACATAAGGTACCATTCACCACGAGGCCGCCCTATGACAAAGGTAAAGCTTTAAATTATCTTCACTAACTTTCTGTATCTCTACCCCACCGGGAAACCTACTTAGACATGCTTGTCTTTTTTTTTTAGGCCTCATCCTCGTCCTTGCTTCAATTGCACCTCATTATATTCGCACTCCCACCCTCAACGTCACCTTCTTCGTCGCTATTAGTGTGCTGGGTGTTTTCCTACTTCACTCTCATATACCGGGTGATTAATTGCCATTGGAAGTCCAAGGTATCGTAACCCCGGACCTTGGTAGTATCCCTATCCAAGACTCGCCTTACATAACTCCCAGTTGCTGCCTGGCTTCATGTCCTTTTGTGGATGCTCCTGTATGGTTGAAGTAGTAAATCTTCCCCTGTATAATCATTGGAACCTGTCACTGGTGCTGCAGAAACCGCTCAGATAAGCCTAATTTTAAGTTATGCATGTCACATTATTTATGGTAGTTAATCCCTTTCTGATCTGGCTTGTTCTCATATAGTGTATACATATATTTTACGCTATTTTTCTTTTGGAAATTTAGCTTACGTGGTAGCAATTATCACCACCTATTTTACTTATTCCATTCCGCTACCAGATAATTACGTTACTCACCTTATTAGATATTACTACTTAGTACTTACCCCGGCACTTTTTTTTGTTATTTAGTTTGGCTTTGGCTTTGGTTATTAGGTAACTTATTAGTTAATTCGTTAATAAGGTACATACATTATTTATTTACAATTCTTGCCGACCTTTTCCCTGTTCTTTTATTATAGTTTATAAGTTTACATTATTTCGGTATAGGTAACGGCAATCCTTAATGAAATTTAGGTTCACTTACAAAACTTTTAATAATATTCATTCTTTGTTTACGCTGAACTCACCCATACTTGCCCTTGTTACCATTTAAATAGCCTTTATTCGCTTACACTTTACTTAAGGGCCCCATATTCTTTAAATAGTGTTTTCCGCAAAGACAAATAATTTCAAACATTTAATAACTGAATAATCTAAAGCTTATCAAATAATAGGAATGTTATGTCATGCCATCTGGGTATTTTCAAAGACGCCGCAGTAAAACGAATAAACAGGTGCAAAAAACGATCAAACCATCAAGGTTTTAGGTACTGAAATCTACGAAAATACTAACTTTTTTATATATAATTCCACATGTAAATATTCTTATAA